CTTCTAAAACAAAGATAAGTTAATGATAATAATAATATTAAGTTAAAAATATATATTATAAAATAAAAACTATAATAGTTTTATTAATACAGTAATATAATAATAATAATAATAATAATAATAATAATAATAATAATAATAATAATAATAATAATTATAATAATAATAATAATAATAATAATAATAATAATAATAATAAAGCAATAATAATAGAAGATATCTTAATATCCATTAGATATATACTCAAATAAATATTTCTTAATTTGGTTATGATTGAAAAAAGGATGTTTGTAATAAAAGGGTATTTAAAAAATTTTTTTTTTTTATAAATGTTATAAATTGCTTCCAGTGAGAAATACATTGATGTTTTATAAAGAGCTCGCCATATTTGATGGTGTTGAAAAAGGAAGTGTGCAAATCACCATTTTCAGTATTTCAAGTGTTTGTGTATCACTTGTTATAATAAATTTGTTTTAATAAAATTACTAAACAAATTTAGTTTATTTTGAAGAAAATCAAACACAAAGAGACAATCATAAAGTTTTACAAAGATCTTATAGATTTTTTCATTCAGAAAACCTATTTTAGATATTAGATTGTAAAGGAGAAAATGTCTTAATTCTTATGAAAGTACATTGTAAACTGTTTATACGATTTAATAGAAAACTACATTTATTGACCCTAAAGAGTGCAACAATAGCTTAGATGGGAGGAGAACAAGGAATAGTAAACTGATATTAGAGTATATTGGGGAACATAGAGTTGTATTACTAATATTGAGGAACATAGTGTTGTATACTAATGGCACGTTAGAGTTTTTTATTTAATTGAATTAGTTGTACCATGATGTTTATGTCAAGAAATACCCCAAAATATATTATATATTTAGATGGGAAAATTCTTTAATTCTAATTTTTCATATTCATTATCAATCTTTTTTTTTTTTTTTTTTTGGAGGGTGAAAAATAATAAATTCAGTTTTATTGATATTTAAAGAAATACAGTTACTATTTAACCAATGATACAAATGATGGAGATCTGAATTAACTTTTTTACAAAGTTGCGTGAGTGGTATTTTTGGGAAATGATAAAACAATCAAATTATTCATAGAATGACCCAGATTGTTAATATATATTAAAAACAGTAAAGGCCCTAGAACGGAACCCTGTGGGACACCATATCTTAATAACTTTATTTGTTGATTGAAACCCATTAGTCAACACAAACTAAGTATGATTTTTAATATATGATGAAAACAAATCATTAGCAATACCCCGTATTGCTAATGATTTGTTTTCATCATATATTAAAATAAATGTATAATGATACATTTATTCAATTAAAATCTTGTCATCAACTGTATCAAAAGCTTTTTGAAGATCAATAAAAACACCACAAGCAAAAGAATCACTATCAATTTTACCACAAATCATCACAATAATCCTAATAAGTGCATGGGAAGTAGAGTGTTTTAAATAAAATCCAAACTGGCGGCCATAGAGACACTAAGAATTATCAAGAAAGTGGTAGATACTAGAATACATTAACTTTTCAAGAATTTGCTAATATTTGATAATAAAGATATTCGTCTATAGTTATTGCAGTCAGGTTTTGAGTCTTTTTTATGTATTGGTTTAACAGATGCAGTTTTGAAAATGTTAGGAAATATACCAGTAGCAAATGAGAGAATAAATAGTTTAGAAAGTATTTAAGAAATATCATTAGCAAGAAGTTTTAGAATAAAGGTTGGAATGCTGTTTGGACAACGATCCTTCCCATCATTTAAAGAAAGAATAAGTTATTTCATTTTTGTCAGTAGGGTTAATGAAAACAGAATCAAAGTTTGATATTTTTAAATACTTATGGAAGTCAGTATGGGATGAGTGAATATTTTTTGCAGTTCTTCAGGGATTGAAATAAAGGAGTTGAAAATTTCCAAGATTTTAACTGGATCATATATAATGGTGTTATTTGAAGATATACAATATGGGTATGAGATATCATCCGAATGTATATTTAAAAGAGTTCTAATACTCTTTGTGTATGTTAAAAAAATATGTTAAAGTAATTGAGTGATTGATAATTCTTGTTGGTAAGGATGTAAAAGGAAGAAAGTTGTTTAAAGCAATGGTGTTTAAATCCTCGAGGTTAAATTAACTAAGTTAGCTTTTATAAGATCTATACTAAACAGCTAGCTTTTCAAATAGAATAGCTGGATATGAAACATTAAGTTCATTAATATCCATGTTAGGGTGTTGATAAACATTCTATGATATAAGACTTTTAAGGGAAAATAATTTTTTTCATTACATTTCATTACAAAAAATTATTTTTCAAATGATTTTTTGTAACATTTACATTTATAACTTGCAGGTGCTGTTGATTTGGATTCAATAGAAGATTCTAGCTTAAGAGAATCTATTGAAGGAATGATCAATAACTTTGGTCAGGTACCGACACAACTTTTAAAGAAACCTCACCCAAAAAGAAAGAAGCTGCAGGATGTTGATTTCGGAAAACCTAAAGTTGTGACAGATTTTAATGCAGCTACATTTTCTCTAATTGAGGTTTATTTTTATCTAGTAAATTATAGAAAATGAATGATTTAGAATGATTAGAATTATGTTTTATATAATTTATATTATATATCTATTTATATGTTTTTTGGATATCTTTTTTTAAATATTGATTTTTTAGCTTTTAATCAAATATGATATTTAGGTGGTAGAGAAACACTGTTAATGTATGTTATGTAGGTGGTACAGACACTGACAGAAATGGCGTGCAATCAAATACTATTGTTGACCACACAAATAATTTTTATTTTGACAAATGTTTTGATGATTTAAACATTTTAAAAATGTAGTAAAAAAAGAAACATTTAGCTAGTTTTTAATGAGGAAAAAAATTAAAAAAAAAACACTAAAGAAATAAGAAAATTCCAAAAAAGAAAATATGTAAGCACTAAAATAAAATCAAAAAACAAACTCAAACTCAAAGTTACTTTTTGTTACATTTTTAATTGCATTTAATATAAATTACTTTAATAATTATTTTTTAAAACGTTTTATTATGCTTTTACTTTAAGTAACAAGTTAATTTTAATTATTGTTAAATAAATGAACAAGTTATATTTAAATTACTAAAAAGTGTTATATATAATATTCTTAAATTGTATAAACATTTATTTTTTCTGAAAAGTTGCACAAAAAAAAATAGTTTTTTTTAATAAAATATTTGTTTAAAAGATTTAAAAAAATAATAAGCTGAAAACATAAAATACTTCAAAAAATTTCCATTAATCAACAAAATACATGCTTATATAAGTAAATGAAGTTATTTTATATTCTTGTATAATTTATATAAAATGTTCCTACACTTGTCCTAAGCAACTAGTCACAAAAAGTTTTGAACTTTTTATAATTTAAAGTAACTTTAAATTATTAAAAAAAATCTTTTAAAAAATAATTTAAAAAAATCTTTGAAAAAATAATCGCTTAAAAGATTTTTAGAAAGACATTAAAAAATCAGTTTCAAACGTTTAAACTTATCATTAAAAAAATTTATATATAACATTTTTTGTTAATTTACACAAAATGTGTTTATTTTAAACAATCTTTATAATTATTTTTTTTATTCAAACCCTTCATGTAAAATAAAGCCTTTAGAAAAGATCAATGGTTAAAAGTTTTTCATAACATAACTTTTTTTATTGCATTTATATTGTTAAAACATCAAAACAGTGGTGATTTTATTGTAAAGAAAAAAAGTTATAAGGTGGTCAGTTACAGCATGTGATGCACGCCATTCTTGTCCAAGCTTGTGGTAGAGAAAGACTGTTAATATATCTTATATAGGTGGTAGAGAAACACTGTTAATATATGTTATGTAGGTGGTAGAGAAACACTGTTAATATATGTTATGTAGGTGTTAGGGAAACACTGTTAATATATGTTATATAGGTGGCAGAGAAACACTGTTAATATATGCTATGCAGGTGTCAGAGAAACACTGGTAATATATGTTATGTAGTTGGTACAGGAACATTGTTTATATATGTTATATAGTTAATAGATTTTTTTGAGCATGAAAGAAAAATTACAGTTAAAGAAACTTTGTTAAAAACTTGGCTAAATGAGAAGCTACATAATGACAATGATGATGATTGTCTTTATAATTTATATGATGATATTCATGATAATGATGATTTTTTTTAAATAGTACATTACAATATTTTATTTATAGTAAATATTTCTTACAATACATATTTTACATATGATGCATTTTATATTACAATATAATATTACAATATGATGCAACACTTGATCTTTGTAGATATCACACAAAGATCCAGTTGTTTTTATTGCAACAAGTAAACCTCGTGAAAGGACAATTCTCTATCTTTCTCTTCCTGATACTTTATTAAGCATCCATTCAAATAGTCTTTATGGTATTCATTCATGGTTGCCTCACACAGATCCTAATCGAAATCCTTTATCGTTTACTCAAGATGTCAAACTGAGGTATGCTTTTTTACTCAATTATCAACTTTTTTATGAAATTGTACATTTTTTGGTTTTTCCCTGAAATTATCACATTTAATAATTATTTTTTAAGCATTTTTAATTTTTCTAATTTTTTTCTATAAATGAATAGTCATTTGGAAAAAAATGTGAAAACTATGTGATTTATATAAGTTAATTAAAAGTTCCAAATAATAAAATTCACCTTTGCGTCTTTCTCATCTTTTTCTTCTTCATTTTTTTCTTCTTCCTCCTCACTAAAATTTATATATATAAAAGTATTTAATATAAATATTGTTTTAGTTTATTTTAGTTTAAATATTGTGTACACCGGTGCCTCCTTGACCGTTTTTAAGACCTGTTTGAAGGAGGAGGGGGACCAACCATTGTTCATTTTTTCTGACAAAATGAACAATAGTTGCCCTCTAGCGGGTCTAGAACTCTAGCGGGTCCAAAATGGTGGTAATGTCTGGCACCTATTTCACCTGAACATGTGTCTGGGACCTATATTACCTGAACATGTGTCATATCAAGAGTCTCAAACAAAATATTGTATTTCTATAATATTTACAGACATGAATTGTTATATATTACATATAAAACATTGTTTATTTAAAATAGCATGCAATTATAGACATTTTATATAACAAGCAAAGTATGTTTTTTTAAGTTGAAAAAACTTTATTTATGATATATATGTTTTCTTAAAAAAGCTGCACACTTTTTATTTAAATTTTCATTTTATGCTGTTAAAAATATGTCATTACTTGTGCAAAAACTAATATCATATATATAAGCAGTTTTTAAGCTGAAAATATATATGCAACATAATATATATGTTGCATATATATTATGTTGTTGCATATATAGTATGTTGTTACTACATACTATATATGCATACAACATACAATATGTACAATGTACATGTACATTGTACAATGTACAATGTATTTTACAGTAATTAACACTTACAAGATTTAACACTCACAAAATTCCTAAATTAGTAGATCGATAATTTAAATTTGGTCTTTGTATAACATATAATTTGATTTTAATATTGATTTTAATAAATGATTATTTATAGTTTAACTTCCTAAAATTTGCTTTGAAATACTTTTTTAAACAGTTTTTATGTCAATTTTATTGCTGTTAGTCCTGTTTTGGCATTAACATTGATATATATTTTTAAAGAAAAAATATCTATAAAGGTGTAAGCGAAGAATTAAAAATGTAAGTACCCTATCCCAAACTTTCTCCCACACAAATATGTCAATAATTAAATAATTATTTATGTTTATATACTTCCTAATTACCATGTGTTTATAATTCACTTAATTATTGAGGAAATAAATTAAATTTTATAGAAATAACTTGTACCATAAAAAATATCTGAAAAACATGACATAAACAAAAAGATTGTATATAAAATAATGGTATAATAAAAAAAAGAAAACAGGGTAAATAAAAATTAGTTTATTGTTTCAATAAGTTGACATATAGTCTACTTTTTGAAATAAAATTTACCATGTGTTTTGTATTTGGTTGATATTATGTTAAGAAAATTATTTTAAATGTAACTTACTCTGGACCCAAATCAACATAGTCATCGTCGGAACCTGCAGCATCATCAGCCAATGTTTCAAAGTTTTCTAATTAAAAAAAATGCCATCAGAAAATAATTTTTTCTTAAATATTTAAAAGAAGTAGTATATAAAGAAATTTTTTTACTTAATTTTTTGCGCAAAATTCCTTGAACTGCCTCATAGCACTCAATAGATTTTTCAAGATTGTCAATTGTGTGATATAAACCTCCCATACTTAGGTTTGCTTTCATTGCTCCATCCAAGTCATTTAGTTTGTTTGCAACCTCTAAACGTTTTTGATAAAATTCTATGGCTTTTTCATAATTCATCATTAGTTCATGAACGCTAGCAATGTTGTTATATAATCTTGCTACGCACCATTGCTCACCTCGTTTTGTAGCCATTTCAAGAGCTTTGTTATAATTTTCTAATGCTTTTCCAAATTGGCCTTTCATTTTATATATAACACCAAGGTTTGATAGCGCTTGTCTCAATCTCATGTCATCTTTTTCTTCAATACTTTTTTGATGTTGAAGAACAGTTAACTCTTCAAATTTTTCAAAATTTTTAAGCTTGAAGTATGCAAGTGCTTTGTGACTAATGCAATCTAAAATTTTATTTTCTTATTTAAACTTTTTAAAATTTACATTACATAGATGATGTTTTTTGGGGATGTTTTGGAATTCTAGAAATTCAAGCAATACTAGTATTAATTTGTGGAGTATTAAAATTATTATTTTCATGAAATAATTATCAAATTATAATTAGTTAAATTTTGAATTTTATAAGTTAAATTAATTTTTTAATATTATTTTAAAGAATCAAAAAAAAAAAAATATTTTTTAAGTTAATTAGATTAATAAACACTCTCTTATAAAAGACATTTTATAACTTATTATTCAATTTTTGATATTAATATTTATCCTCAAATTAAAGTTTAAATGTCATTTATGATATTTAAACTAATAATATTTACATCTACATTTCATTTTAATAAATTTTATATCCATATATAGTGTGTGTTTATATATATATATATATATATATATATATATATATATATATATATATATATATATATATATATATATATATATATATATATATATATATATATATATATTAGGGTAGCTCTTAAAATAACTTTTTTGAGAAAAACCTGCTCTTACCCCTTTAATTTGTTCTATATAATACTAAAACACTAGGTTTAAAATTTTTTTTTGAACAAAAAATATTTTTAGGGGTAGCTCAAGACCCTTAAAAATTATTTTCGTAGTCTGCATATTTTATTTTAATAATATTTATTTAATTTTTTATTGAAGTTTAAATCCAGTTTCAAATTTTATGTTACAAATCTTATTTGACATTTTTTTATTATTGTTTTTTTGACCTAATTTTCTTTTTTGATTAATTTTGGTACCATAGTTATGTATATATTTTTTAATTTTTTATTTTATTTTGTTATGCAATGTATTCCAAATAAAAATCTCTGCTTTTTTTGATTTTTTTAAAAAGTTTAGAAAAAATTTAAATAATCACAAAAAAATCAGTGATGATATATTTTTGAAAGCTAATATACAGAGTAAACCGTGGTAAATGAAAAAAATAGTGAGCATCTTAGCATTTTTATTTATTTTGCATTTATAGAAAGCTAAAACATAGTAGATAATTTTTTGCTCTGTCTATAGGTATAATAATTGTTTTAAAAAATTTATTATTGCCTTTTTTCAAAAAAATCAACTTACACTGTTAACACCAAAATTAAGTTTTACTAAACTAAAAAGATTTTCGTAGAAAATTTTATGACGATGAAGATTCTTTTTTCAAAATTGAATTTAGTAGTTTTGGAAAAATGTTATGAGCAAAAAACCAAGATAAATGTTTTTTTTGGGAAGAGTAAACTGGCAATCAAATTAATTATAATTAGTTAACAGCTCTAGGAGACTTCTGCTCAAACATATAAAGTTTTGCAACACATCACAGAAAGACTCTACTGCATTTTGAAAAATGTTTTACAACGCCACCATGTTGACACAAAAAAAACCAAGAGTCAACATTCCGAGAGTTTAAGGCCAGTGTCTACTCGGTGTAGTTGAGGCAATTTTAAAATATTACAGTGTTTGTATGATATTTTGTTGACTACGACATATTTCCGTTAAATGTCGTTAAATCGCTTGTCCAAATTTGAATAAGATTTTAAATAAATATGTTTTTTAGGTGAGATGAACATTATAGTTCAACAATATGATCTGTTCTAATTGGCAATTTTTCTTAATTATAAGTTCTTTCTTGGTCAGAATTCATGTATTTTTTGTGAAAATTGATAGAAATATTGTGTTTTGACAATATAGTTAATATATGTCAAAACCGATTAGAACTAGGATCTGTAGTAAATTAAGGAACTTTTTCAAAAGATTTTAACTAAATTCATGTTAAGGCCGCTGAGTGGAATTGATCTAAAGACTCCAAAATGGTGTTCTTTAGATTCACTATTATGGGTTGTAAAAAGGTTTTGAAAATTATATTAAAAAAATAAGTTTCTTCTAAATATTATAAAAACCTGAAGCAAAAAAAGTTATACATTTAAAGATCTCGTTTGGACATAATATGCTGACAAAACTATGCTAATTCCAAATAAAAGAATTTGAATATTTTGCAAATCGCCTTAACTACACCGAGTAAGTACATCTAAGGTGCTTGAGAAACTAAAGCAAGATGATGTGACCAAAAAGTCTAAGCAATATAAGAAATGCAAGATTGACTTTTAATTCAGATGAAACTCAGTTAGTGCAACATTCAAAAAAACCGAGACAAAACAAAGACATCAAGAGGTGCAAGAAGTGTGGCAGAGTTTGGAAAGAAGCATTGCCAGCTCAAAACAACATGTGCTACCAGTGTGAAGCTTTTAGTTGCAAATCTTGGTTTTGTCAAAAAAATTGGTGAAGAGTATTTTTGCATCAAAAAATGCTGCGGACCTGCTTCTAACCATGAAACAACTCAAATTTATTTAATTAATAAATAGTTTTTTTCGTATATTTGATTAAATTTTTTTTTTTTTTTGTAAATTTAAATTCTAATAAGATTAGTTTTAATTAATTAAGTTTGATTTTCCTAATATCTTAATTGTTATTAAAATTTATCTAGTTTTTCCATTTTTTCCTAGAAGGAAAAGCAAACATTTTTTCTTCATAAAAAATGACTTCATTAAAAAATTTCAAAATATTTTTTCTCAATTTTAATATATTTACATAATGTAAAAAATCCTCTATAAGACAAAAAAATAGCATAAAATATTTTTTCTTTAAAAGATAATTTAATTTGAAGCTAAACCGTATACTCTTACCCAGTTTACTATGTAAACTCGTATAGTTTATATATATATATATATATATATATATATATATATATATATATATATATATATATATATATATATATATATATACATTTTCTAAAGGCTTTATTACCAATTTTATGAAAAAAAAAAATTGTATGACCTAATAATAAGCGTAATTACGGTTACTTAAAGCGTATTATTTAAAGCTGGTTAATTACACATTGTTATTTTTATTAGAAACCACGCAAATAGGTTAGTACTAGAAAGTTACTTATTTTAAGATATTTTCCTAATTTAGAAATTTAGAACTAAAAGTTTCTTAAGTTAGTTGATAGAGTATACATATTTCGTTTCATTGCGCGTTGAGTTTAATACTCATTTAAACTGTTATTCTCCGTCATAGATAATGCTTTTTAACTTCGCTTTATGATGATGCAATACGTAGGTGAAAAAATAGGAAAAAAATTATTATGAGATTTAATAAAAAAAGTTTCTTATTGAAAAGTAACTTAAAGTTCCTTAAGGATTTTGCGCTCCTTGTTCCAGTGCTTGTTTCTTATAAACAAGTTTCTTTAAAAGAAAAAAAAGACGTGTAAAGCATGTGATACCGAAGGTGTGTAAGTAACAGCGCAGATTAGTGATACATATTTTAAATATATAACTCGTGCTTAACTAGTTATTTTATACAACATTTGTCTTATATTAATCGTTCACTTTTGTTCCGTCGTTATTACATTTTTTTTTTTTTTATTTTATTTTTTGTTAACGTTTTTTAAAATAATATTTGATGTACTTTCTAAAGTATAACGAATTATTTGTTTGCGTTACCCAATATTTCTTTACTTTTGTTGAAATCTTCGGCTTTCTTTTGATGCATTTCAAGGTATTTCAGTTTTCTTTTTGTGTCGTTTGGATCTTCTAAAGAAAAACGATAATCATCTGGGTTGTTATCAACTTTTTCATATCTCATTGCTCGTACTTCATCGAGCAGTTTAATAAATATTTGTGACATTTTGTTTGTTAGTTATTATCTCATATGTATCTTTTTTAGTCCATATATTAATTTTAATTGCTCATAATATTTGCAAATTTAACGTGCCACTTGATGTTTTAAAATATAATTCGCTATTCAATTGAATATTGAATAGTTTTCAACAAAAAAAATTTTTTTTTTTTTTTTCATAAATTATTAATTTTCTGAACTTTTTTGCTAACTTGGTTTATTATTTTCTTGATATCTGTGCCGTTTTGGTTTAAATTATTTTTCTAAACTTATATAGTTCTAGTTAAATAAATATAAGTGAATGTTGCAGTCGCCTTTGCTTTAAAATAAACGTAAACGTATCGCCTTTGCTTTAAAATAAACGACGCTCTTTAAGTATTATTTTTTTACAGCTCTACACAGCGATCACTGCCTGGGATTCTTTCTCCCTCTGTGCGAATATCGTCACATTTATTTGGATTTTCTTCCGATGGACGTTTGATGCTATCGTGTGGGTATTGGGATAATAGTATTAGAGTTGTCAGTATAGAGCGCGGAGTAGATACCTTGAAGGCTTGTGTATACTATCATAATGGTAAATTTGTTCTATAATTTTTTTTTTAGTTACACTGCGTACTTTTTGTTACTCGATATTGCGGACTAAATTGGGGTAAAATTTTTATTTTTTTACAGATGTTGTTACTTGTCTCAGTATCGATCCAAATGGTTCTCATGTTATAACAGGATCAGCAGATCGTACTTGTGCGATTTGGAAAGTTTATCAAAGTAGCGGTTTTTCATCTGGGATTTCAGAAAAGCCGATTCAAGTAATATATGGACACGACGCTTGTTTATCTGATGTTTCAATGTATCTTGATCTTGATCTGGCGGTAACGGGAGCGGTGGTGAGTTTTATTTTTACTTTTTATTTATGTTTTTAATCAGTCTATTTATGTATCCATTGCGTATAAATACATTTTTTTTTTAATAGGATGGCGTTTGTTTGGTACATACCATACACAAAGGTATCTATATGCACACTTTACTTCCGAGCAAAATACTATCGTCAACCAAAATTGAAGTTGCGCAAATTAAACTATCAGAACAAGGAAGAATTGTTGTACTTTATAAATCATACCAATCTGCAGCAGTAAGTTGTATGATGATGATGATGATGATGATGATGATGATGATGATGATGATGATGATGATGATGATGATGATGATGATGATGATGATGATGATGATGATGATGATGATGATGATGATGATGATGATGATGATGATGATGATGATGATGATGATGATGATGATGATTATAATGATCATCATCATTGATGAACATGATATTAATATTAACATTATTAATATTCTTTCAGACTTCTAATTTTGTGTGCATCTACAGTATAAATGGCTCGCTGTTATATAATATAGTTCTAAGTGAAATGGTTTCGGGAATGATCATCTTGAACAACTATCTTATTACTGGAACTGAAAGCGGATCTTTACAGATAAGAGATGTCAACGAGTAAGATTCTCTTCTTGTTCTGTTAAATTTGTTATTATTGTTACCCAGAAGCTAAGCATACACAAAGCAGTAAATTATTATATGCATCATACATACATACATACATACATACATACATACATACATACATACATACATACATACACCCAAATACAAACAAGATATTTAATGAATAAAATGTAGTTTGATTAATCCATATATTTATATTTTTAGTTTTAACAATGTTGTTTATTCAAAGAATGTTCGTTCGTCAATTTCTTCTGTTGCCGCATCTTATAATGGCAGTCATTTATTTATTGGTAGAGGAGATGGTAATATTTTAGTTATGTGTCCGACAAAATAATTAATTCGTATATTGTTAAGAACAAATAGAAGCATTTCGACTCTTTCAAATTTTAAAAATGCTGCTTTTCTACAGCCACTGTTTTAATGTTAACTTATGCAATGTTAACGGTAGCGTTTACCTCGTGAAATATATTTATACAAATAATATTTATACAAACAATAATAGGAATATTTTTTACAATTTTATTTTTTCACTTTGTTTATAACTTATAAATAAATGAATTTTGTACGTATGCTTTTGTATGAATAATCGCATAGCGTGTATATAAACAATAACATTGAATGTATATAAATCACAGCATTGCATGTAAGTAAATATTATAAATGATGAAAAAGTTGTTTCTAATTTTTAATTTTTTTGATAACTTAAGTTTGCTTATGTTATACATCTTCAAGGATTGTTTTGAATATAATAGTATATTTAAATCCCTCGATATAATGAAAAACAAGAAAATAATAAGAAAATTTTAGATTACGTACTATATATACGTATATGCAATATACGTTTATATTGTACGTATGTTTTTAGATAAATGAATAATAATATTTCTTAAATTACTTTTCTTGAACTCATTGGAAATAAAATTTGATTTTTTAAAGCATCATTTTGTTCCATTCAAGGCAACGCGTCCCTTTTATTGGAACAGTTAAATTCTTTGAACAAGTTATAGCAATAAAACACATAGATAACAAAAAATTAAATGCATGGCTTTTAAATTAAATACATTTTATAAATGTTTTACACGGTTAGTACGGATCTTTAAACTGCAAACCAAGTGCAAAACCAAGCAAAAGGACTTTCAGTTGGTAAAACAAAAAATATGTTCCTGTTCAAAGAATTTTTATTAGAATCTTCTTAAAAACATTTCAAAATGAAGTGACTATATAAAAGTACTATCTTTTACACTATATTACCATCAAATAGCATCTGATTAAATTGTAAAGCATGGACCTTGATTTTCTCCGCAAGAAAATTTATTCAAAATACCTTTTTTAGTCTAATACTCTTCAATATTATTAAATGCAATATTAAGATTCATAATTACTAGCAGTAGTTAAGGATAAAAATGATTAAAATGTTCACAATAAACCGTAATCTATGATTTTCTGCTGCCTAATCTAATAAATCGAATTATGGTAACAGTTCTTAAAAAATGCTTAAAAACTTAAAAAATGCTTCAAATCAGTTATGCAGTATAATAATCTTTTTTTGTACTCTGGATAATTATTGTTTTTACCTTGACTAATGTTTATAAAAGTCTTGATGAGCAGTTTCGACAATTTGTTAACAGGGCCCCAAGTGGGATCCTTTGCAACAGATAAAATCTTTGTTGTGGTAGAAGTTGGTGTGGATTTTGTGTGTTGCACCAGTTATCATTAAGTAACATCTTTTGAAATTTTAAATTATTTCAGCAAGTTCATGCTGATGGATAAATCCAAAGCAAGCTTTTACAACTAAATTGAAACTTTTGAATGCTTCAATTATGTCAAGAATGTTGGGAACATTCCATGCCAAGTGGTCCGGAGGTTTTATGAAAATCTGAGACCATCTCAGTATGTAGTTAAACATATTTCATGAACATTGCCAAAATTTCAGATCAAAATGTTTGCTATTTCAGATTTTGTGGTACTTTTTGTAAAGCTTACCCAAATTTGAATATCAGTCAGTATCTAAAAGTTGTATTTTTAGGGTCTTATTATTTTTAAAATGAGGTAATATATTTTAAAAACGTGAATTCTTAGTAAACCGAAGGTGCAGCTTGCAAATTATTTATTACAACTTTCATTTCATGCCTAGAATTTTGTCTATGGTTCAACAAATTGTGTCACAAATTTAATACCATAAATTTTTATTGTTTTCTTTTTGGGTCATATCTCCAGAAATAAAGATTTTTAAGCATTGTTATTTTTTCTGAAGATTCTGCGTACTAATATAATGATATAGATAAATAAATAAATAAATAAAAAAAAAAAAAAAAAACAGCTTTTTTAAAAATGCTCATGCTGAGTTATTCTGAAACCAATATGGCAACAAAAGTAAAATACCCTAAAATAACATGTATTTGAACTTAATGTGGGAACATTTTTTGTGTTTTTTTAATTGCATTATTTAAAAGAGCTTATTTTACACTTCTAGAAACAATGAAAATCATGTTGGAGAGATTTTTTCTATGAAAAAAAAAATTATGTCAATATATCGATTTTGTACTAAACATAAGGATACTGATTTAAAAACAAAGTTTGTTCGAAAATTGAAATATTTTGATATTCAAAAATGTTTTTTAATATTTTCTTGAGTTATTTCAGAAAAATAAACAAATCAGCGAAATGTGAAGCGCAATTTTTAGAATGGCACATAAACCGCAAATAAGTAAGTTTTTTGACAAAATTTTATTTTAAGATTTTTATGTAATTTGATTCTATAATCATTTAATTTTTAAGTAGCAGTCCATTATTACAACCACAATTTTCTGGCGATTTTTACCTCCCTCTAGTCAAAAACTTGTCAAACTTTCAGAGAACCCCCTTCCCTCCCCTATAAAATACGCCAACAATTAATTATCCCCCCTCCTTAAGAAAAATAAAAAAAATTAAATTAAAAAAATAAAAAACATTTTGATTTATAGTAATAGTATTAGTTTACAACTTTAAAAAAAAGTGATTAAAGGTAAAATGTTTAGAAAAAAAAAATTTATTCAACCTTTAACTAACTGAACATTTTTTAAATTTATATAACCATTTAAAATTACAAAGGCTTGCTCTGCACAAAAAGTAATCAGTAGTAAAAGTGATTGCTACATGCAACACTCTATGTTTATACTTCTTCCAGTGCATGATAGAAGGTATATATATATATATATATATATATATATATATATATATATATATATATATATATATATATATATATATATATATATATATATATGTGTATATATATATATATATATATATATATATATATATATATATATATATATATATATATATATATATATATATATATATATATATATATATATATATATAATTATTCATCTGTAAATTATGAAATATATTGTTTTTGCATGGATAACGGTAGCATTTGGGTAATTTGGGATAACGGCTAGCATTTGATAATGCTACCCAGGTAGTAAGCAACGGGTGGCTATGTACTTGTACCCATGTACTTGTCAAGAACCCTAGTCCTAGATAATATTAAATATTATCATTATTTATGTACCGTGCAGAGTCACAATCCGTGAATGTGCCCTTCCTCCTTACTTTAACTTTAGACCTAATCTAATTTATACATTGAAAGTAAACTATTTCTAATAGAGTCTAGAATAACAAAATAATGCATTTAATAGTTTTTATAAACCAAAGGTAGGCAATCATCTAAGACGGATGAGCTAAAGTTTACAATTTATAAATATTTTTTAGTTTTAAAGAGCTACTAACATCTTGTTTTTAATAGTATATTAGTATTTGTGCATGAAACTGGAGAGCCACATTTTAACATCGAAATTTTAACATCAAATTTGGCTTGCAAGCAGCAGGTTGCCAACCCCTGGTATAAACATTTAAATAATATAATGTAGACTATGTACTTACATAAATCATTATTTATTTCTACAGCAGACCAACAAACATTAACTTTGAAAAAAGTAATAGTATTACGAGTAAACATCTAGTGTTTTCTTATTTAGTTCTGTATTTGTATAGTATTTATAAAGCACAACACTGTTTAAAAAAGTAGAAATATAGTTAGTGCCATTAAAATACTGAAGGTCAAGTGAGTGTGTAATACAAGACTACAAAGGCAGCCTAATTTTCCTTTTTTGAAGTGATTAAATTTACTGAAAAAACTAACGTTACTGACGTCATCTTTTCTTGACATTCCCCCCCCCCCCTTTCCACTTTTTAAAAACTTTGCGGCAAATTTGAACACAATTTTTGACCTGGACAAATAACTTTATTTGTTAATTTTAAAAGACAGTCTGCAGTGGAAACAAATTAAAGTAATATTTTTGATTAAATTATAAGTTCGTCCGAAAATTAAACTCAGTTCCTCGATTAAAAGTTTTAGGCAAAAGTCAATCAAACTTTTTTTTCGTGAATAAGTACTTAAATGACATAAACTTCTGTCAAATTTTCCAATACATCAAGTACTTAAGTTTTGTTCAACAGACATGTCAGGATGTAGATATACTTAAAATAAGTCTTGTTTTATTTTCAACTCTAACTTTCGTCTTCTAATAATTCTATTCAATGTTAGTGATGACTTAAGTAAATTAAATTTAATTTAGAGAGATTTTTCCGTAGAATAAAAACATTCTTACTACTAAAATTAGCTCTACACGACAATTTAATTTACGGACCCTAATATCGCTTTTAAAATATCTAAGGCTTTTTAGATCTACCCTAGCTCATAAAAACTATATGGTTTTAGTTCATAGGAAAAAACTCTCCAAAATAATTTTCATTGTTTCTAAAAGTGTGAAGTAAGATCTTTCTAATGATGCAATTAAAAAAACAAAAAAAATTTGCCCACATTAATTTTTAGGTGATCAAATAAATGTTATTTTAGGGTATTTTTCTTTTTGTCGCTAAATTGGTTTCATAATAATTCAACATTGTAAATTTTTAAAAAGCTGATTTTTTATCCATATCATTATATTAGTACGTAGAATCTTCAGAAAAGATAACAATACTGAAAAACTTTTTGCATTGGAGATATGACCCAACAAGAAAACAAGAAAAATTTATGGTGTTGAATTTGTGACGCTATTTACTGAACCATAGACTAAATTCTAGACATGAAATAAATGTTGTAATAAATAATTTGCAATCTGTACCTTTGGTTTACTTAGAATCCACGTTTTTAATATATATTACTCTTTCATTGCAAAAATATAAAACCCCAAAAGTATTAAAATTTGGGTAAGCGCTACAAAAAGTACCAGAAAATCCGACATAGCAAATCTTTTGACCTGAAACTTTGGCGATGTTAATGTTAAACTTTGGCGATCGATATAGTGTGCGCTTTTAATTTCATGTTTTCTAAAGTAAGTCTATATTTTGAGTTCGCAACATCTGCTACCTGTGCTGTTTGTGACATACATCAGTGACGGATCCAGAAAATTTTGGTGGGGGGATGTTGAAATATTTTTGTACTTTGCACCATATTTGCGTGTCCTAAAAAAAAATGACCTTCAAAAAAAAAAAGGCCTTTAATTTTTGAGATTTTATGGACTTTCAGATTCTGGGAGGGAAGAGGATGCATACACTCATCCCCCATAGATCCGTCAGTGATCTACTTTTTTTTTTTTACTTAATTTTAATTCA